TAGTACATTATGCAGCATACAGAAAAGCCAAAAAAATGAAGGTGTTCTTCTTTTTTCTTCTTCTTCTTCTTCTTCTTCTTCTTCTTCTTCTTCTTCTTCTTCTTCTTCTTCTTCTTCTTCTTCTTCTTCTTCTTCTTCTTCTTCTTCTTCTTCTTCTTCTTCTTCTTCTTCTTCTTCTTCTTCTTCTTCTTCTTCTTCTGTCATATCCATTATCAGACGTTGGCGATCACGTTGGCAATCTTGTTTTTATCAGCAGCCGCATGAAAAAGTGCTGCTGAGTTTTGTTCAAAGGTGTTATATAAGGAAAAAAGGAAAGGAAAGGAAACATATGTTTACAACCCCATTGACTCAGCCTCTTCACACCGTTCTATTCTTGCAAACCTTTCTTTCTTCCAGAATAGTTAATCACTGTAAAGAAATTGACTGGAACTAGTTCGTAGGGGGGGAAAAATCAGAGAGAAGATCATATTTTTTCCAGATGCCCTTTACACGTGAAGAGGGAGATCAAGGTTTCCAGTGATGTGCTATTCACCAAGTAATTCAAGAATAAAAGTATTTAAATAGCTAGAAAGCCATGTTTTCATCTGGAAAATATAGCTAAATAAGAAATCCATATGGTTGAAATGATGAATGCAGAGTAATAAAGAATGATGAAAACTTTTGCCAACTTCATTAATCCGTGATAAAAAAAAAACCTTCAACATCTCCCGTCATTGCCCTCAGTTAAAGCTAATCCTTCCTTGTCCCATTATCATGATAAAGAAGTCTTTCTTCTCTCCCTGAGTACATTTTATATGCCTTATCAAGCCAAATGTGGGGAGAAAAGCCTCCATTATCCAATAAAAGTTTAACCTTTTCTAGCATCTTAATCAGTTTATTTTTCTTTAATTTATAGGTCTTGTCTAACCAGCTATGCTTTGATAAAGCAATTAAATGAAAGACCAGATGACGTGAAAGGCTATAAAACTTTAATTATATCCTAATAAATGTAATATGGGACCTGAAGGGTTGAATACATAATTCTTCCAGACTGAGTTTGAAAGGGCTGTTGTTCTGTATATGGATTCCTGGAATCATTGCATCTCTAGGTTGAGTGTTCTTAGTTCTACATTTTAAATATAAAGGGAAATTATTACTTTCTTTCCTTTTTTTCTTGAGAAAATAATTGCATTAAAGGAACAGGGAACTGATACCGAATATAAAATATATTATGTTGTGACCTTTCCTGATCAAACAGATGAACTATCCAGGGGATTAAATCAATAAACAGCCATTGAAGCAAATTGATCTGTATTGAAATAGAAAGGTGTATCCCCATATTGACCAATAGTATGTTCACAAGGGATCCTGGAGCAATGTATGTTGCAAATCAAAGTTAATTGGCTTAGGGTCTTTCTCACAATTGCATTAAAATACTCTGATCTTCAAAGTGGCACAATAGTATGCAAGCATATTTTGTTTCAATTGCTGGAGCCCACCCTTTTTAATTTATTTATTCATTCAGTTTATTTAGCTGCCCGTTTCATTGGTGACTCTAGGTGGTTAATGAGAGTCTTTCTGCTTCAGTAATAAGAGCCATACTTGATGGCTCTGTCTTTACAGTTTTAATGTGGGTCAAATTCCAGTGCCTTGGATTCCCCTTCATTGAAATGTGATTAGCTAGCAGGAAAATGTCTAGCAATCACTTTGCTTAACCCAGGAGAGAGACCGACCCAAGGTCACCCAGCTGACTTTGTGCCTAAGGCAGGATTAGCACTCATGATCTCCTGGTTTCTACCCTGGTACCTTAAACACTACACCAGATTGACTCTCTGAGGTGGCTGATATCTTATAAAATCAGAAACTTGAAATAAAACCATAACATAACAACACTAAAACCATAACAATAATAAACACATCAGTATAAACAACTGGATTAGCCATTGAAATAAATCCTTACCCAGATACAGATATTTTCAAAAATATTTGACACATGTCTAGTGTTCATAAAATGTGGATGACCCATGCAAGGATAAGTTCAATGT